TCGTCCAAGAGTCGCGTCTGAAGCTATTTTTAAACTTTAGATGAATACGATAACTGCAAATTATTTATTTTGTTTATAAGCATACTCTAATAATCCATCTCTACACCATACAGTATCAGATATTGCTCCGCAAAAGTGTCAAGTAACGACCTGTGTATGAACGGCGCCCTCATTTTCTCGCACTTCCATCGCCCCACTGTTTCCTCTCACCTCTTTCAGCGACTTCAACTAGAGGTTAGATTTAGATTTATTAGATTAGATTCATTTAGTCAAAAAATAGTAAAAACTCATTGTGTCGTAGGGGGGAGAACATTATTTGTGCACGTTTTCTTTACCCGTCATTTTAACCATAAATAGTTGAAAATGAGTAAAAATTTAACATACATAAATAAAAATTAATTTTAAAAATCGCGAGATTAGCACATAGTATTTTGTTAAATATTACAGTCTTTCCTTAACGCTCTTTTGATATATATCAGCAAAAGTATCTCAGGGCATCAACTTTCAGTGCATTGCCGCTAATCGGGAGGTCCTATTTGAAAAATAGTCATTTTCGTTTCCGAGTTCTAGAAAACTTATTTGCATCGGTACCCGAATTTGCGATAAGATGCGTGGGTGGATGTGTGCGCTGCTGGATGACTCCGCCATAGGGAAACAAAGCCCTCGAGGATTCCCGAAAGGCCCGTCCAGGCCAGCCTCCGTGAAAGCAAGCTGCACGAAGTAAATCCGCATTTCTGCATCTCGCGAGCACATGCGTTGAAGGCCCTAAACGCCAGAGCTTTCGCCCGCTGTCGTTCGCAATTACATGATGCAAAACCTGCAAAGGGCCGGACGTGACACGTGGAATTAGAAAATCATCAAGAAACAATTATGAAGAAATGAAAACAAGTTTTTGTTTGTCATTAAATGTGTGTTGGGGGAGGCTTCACCTTGCGACGTAATGTATAGCTACGCCATTGTTTGCAAGTCAGAACTATAATCAGTCAAGTGTACAAAGCCAGAACGAAGCCAGGACAAAGAAAATGCCAGAACATGTTTTACGTATTCTGTGATATTTTAACATTGTAACACGTACAAGTATATAGTATTATTTTAACACTTTGGACATAAGTTTAATGCAATGGCGAAAACATTTTCATTCATCTGGGCGCTGCGAAGGTCATTAGTCCCGTGAGTATAGAGCATATTGTTATTGCGGGAGGTGGCGGTGGTCCTTGCCAGCTGCATTGCGAGATTCGGCGTCAACCTACACGTCATCTAGCGGAGTTTTCCACAAACTACTTTCACCAGCGTGGCACTGCCCTACCTGCGACAAGCTCTAACCTTCCGTCTCCCAACTATCCCAACTAGTGTAGTGTACTTGAGTTTGTGTAAGCAAGGGTTGAAGGTAGGGCAAGGAAGTGGAAGGAAAGAATGCGCGGGGGCTTGGTTAGGCTCTGCTCCGTCACTCGCCTGATGCTGATCGGAGAAACTACGGAAAACTACCAATCAGACTACAAGGCAGCTACAATGCTCCTTCATCGACCCAGATTGTGCCTAACTAGTGCCGAAAATCCTGCCACAGTCGGGATACGAACCCTAGGACCTCCCGATTAGAGGCTCTGCACTGAAAGTTGATGCCCTGAGCTACTTTTGCCGATATATGTCAAAGAGGTCGTTAACGAAAGACTATAATATTTAACAAAATACTATGTGAAATAGGAATAACTGAATTATATCAAATATGAAAAGGAAAAAAAAATCATTGACCACTTTTTCGAGTATTGCCTACTCTCTCGAATAAATAAACGCATCTCAACGTAAGCTTCCTCTGTGACCTCTGTTACTGCACGCACCTCCGCGATCACCTGACGAACCGAGAACAACAGGAGCGTCTCCAAGAACGCATTTTTTTCGAGTAGCCAGAAAACATGGCGACAAAGGCAAGTAGGAGGGCGATTTTTGGGAATCCGCCTTTACGCGAACATACTATTTTTAGCAGCATTATTGCGGCGCTTTTATGTCTTTCGGCCAAATAGCCACAAAATAAAAGGAGAATTCAGACAAAGGCCGAAATTGCAGGGTCTTTTCATGTTCGCCCTGCTTGTGGAGAACAATTTGGGTACATTTGTTCGCGCCCCGCCCCCTGCATCGGCGGGCGGGACCGTGGGCCGGGCGGTCCCCGGGAGGCGTGGGAAAGGGGGCGTGAAGCGGGCGGGGGCGAAAAATCAAACGCTGCGCGCTAGGGAATGGAATCGAATTTCATTGAAATTTTCGCGTAAACGCTGCAGCTTGCTTCGTCAATCGCGATTCGGCAGTGAATCAGCGCGAGCTGCCAGCGTTGCAGCCTCCCTCTTCCCCCGCCAACTTCTCTGCGCTGCCGCCTCATGGCGTCTCTTTCCCTGCCGCGTGTCTTTAGTCGGTAGCAATATTCTTCGATGGCGGCTACTTATAGCTTCTCTTCACAAATAGTAATAACAATAAAATTAGTTCACTGGATTGGTGACACAGAAACAATTATTTATGCCAGTGTTTCGAAATATTTAATTTCCTTATTAAGGCTAGAGAACAGAGACAAATCAACAATGCATGAGGACATCAAACACATTTATATAAATAAATTTATTAATTACCACTACACAAAAAACGTTTAAAATGTAAGACAAATAAAACGCCTATATAGAGAGTGTACACACCTTACTAATTTATGGTCCAGCCTCATTTCCAGCCAACTCCACATGGAGTTGCTGAAGTACGTGGGTCCACTGCGCGACACGTCTGAATCAGGCCCGAAACGCAAATGAAAGAAAACTGCTTGAATGGAATGAACCACGCGCTACAGCCGCTCCATGCCACGCCACCTTGCGTTTCCGGTTAGGTAGACGTTAAATCAGCAATACACCCAGACGACAACATTCTAATGAAAACTGATTCAAATGTGTCAAAACGAAATATATTGACCATCTATTATAAATGCATATATTTTTGATTGCCTCCATATTTTAATCCTACAAATTCACGAATAGAAATACCTATTATTATAATATTTATCTTTAAATTAACTGGTATTTAATTGTTTGTTTGACATACAGATTCCGAAAGGTATCGAGAAGTATCAAAATGTTCAATATTTTCTTTTATATCTTCATAAAGTTTATCCGTTTTGACATGGATGATAAATGAATCAGTATCTGTTGATAGAAGTTTCATATGATCTTCATTTTTCGGTGTTAGATCATAATAAAATTTATACATTAGCTATGTTGATTATTCAGGTACTACCAATCCAACATAATTAAGTTTATTTAATACCACTTTTTCTTTCTTCCATATAATTGTACATGAGATTGATCAATAATAGTTCAGCACAGGGTGTAACTTGATGAATTTTGTTGACAGTAATGCCTTGTTATATAACATATTTTATATTCCCTATTCCAGCATCGAAAAGAAAAGTAATATTAATTTTAACAATGAATTAATGTATTGTATATCACTTGGATTGTATAATTGTAAAGAATTTGTAACAAGTATTGTACTTCAGCTTCTGGGTCAATGACCCCCATCTCGATCAGGTTTTTGTCCAGTTTCTCTGATCTTTGAGCAAATTCTGAGATGGTCCCTTGTTTTGCTTCTGGATATAAATGTAACTTTAAATAAACTTGTCCTCATAGCACGTCACACACACACACACAGTTTTAACTGTTTTTGACGTAAATAAATAAATTAATTAATTACTAAAACACACGGCTGAAGATATATGAATTATAGATCGTTATATGTGTTCTCATATCTATAAATCCTTATCTCTTGCGCAATAATCACAAGTGTTCTCTTACATAATATGCACAGATGTTCTCTGTAATATGCACATATTATCACTTATGTAATATTCATACCTGAACTCTTAACTCTTACTTTAAATTAAAATTGAATTCGTGGTCTAGATATCTCAATACCTCAAAACACGTAAATTTATTAATATTGTAGACTAAATTTAGAATATTTCAAAATTGAGAAAACGTGATCTAGTGTTGAATTTGTTGAGTATATATTTTGTTAAAAATTATATTTTGTTATATTTTATTAAAATGGTGCATTGAATTATGTATGAAATGGTAAAAATGAAATGCTTAGAAAAATGTGGTCTAGGGTTCTAAAATAGACCTCAAGGCGTAAAATAATATTTTGGATAAATAGGATAAAATGTGAATAAAATTTAGTATTTTAATACGATTGTAATGAAAAAAGGAAAAATCTAAAAATTGTGGGTCTGATAAATCTGGTCCAGGAGCCCTGTTTTATATACTACTTACGTTGTTTACATGACTGATTAGATGAAACAGATTGCCACGACTAACATATTCAATACATAAAACAAAGCAACTACAAAGATTGTGAAGAAAAATCTACTAAAAAATGGTAGTTATACTACAGAAACACATTTAAATGCTAATATGTCAGGGCGGTCAAATTATTTCCACAAATTTTGAATTTTTGTACCGTTGTCCAAAAGCACTTTCACTTTTCATCTGTTTGCCCACTTACAATGATGTTTAAAGTACTTATTTTTTCGACTTTCAAGAAATGAATAACAAAATAATTTTTATTAATTGAAACGGCTGTGTAACTCGATTCCGCCGCAGATTCTGAAACACACAAAAAAGAAGCGTAACTCGATAAACAAATGTTTGTCCTTCCAGATAATGACGAGTCTACACTGCGTGTGTTCCGAGAAATTCACAGTGACGGCGTCACATCATAGCCTGCCATTTTCGCCTCTCCTCCATCGCCACCGCCAATCAAGGCCTCCTTCACCCCCTCACCCCTCTCCCTAGCGGCACTGCATTCATCCTTCCGCGCGTTGTTTCTCCGGGACCTCTGCTGCTCACTTCGCCAATCCCTTCTCCTCCCTCTCTCTCTTACACACACACCCACACACACTCCCTCCCTTACACACATTGACGCACACACAGCGGTCTCGTGATGGACCGGTAACAGGGTTGGCGAACAGAGGAGCGATGGCTCGGCCAGGCGTCAGCATTCGCGCGCAGATGCGGAGATGTGGAGAGCTAGCTCGGCCGGACGCTGGTACGGGGCGGGGCAGCAACGGGGTGGGGTGGGGGGGAGCGCTGGCCGAAACAGCGCCCGACGCGAGCCCTTTGCTTCCGCGTGCATGAAAGTCACGGGCGATTGTATTCTATAGCAGGAACGGCGGAAAATTTGGAGCAGCGTAATTGGGTTCCATGGAATAAAAAGCGAAGCCCGTGAGCCTGTGAGTGGGCCCGTGGAGAAACGAAGATGCAATGAACGACGTGTGGCGGAGATGCAAATTATGCCTGATAAGGCCATTGTTTGAAATCAACGTGGCTGTTCGATTGGGAGAAAATATTTCTTGCTTCATTAGAAATGTCGACATGAAATGATGGCCAGCTTGTTCGCGTCAACAACTTGTCATCACAAACTAATTTTAGTTATTAAACATTTGATTATTACGTTATCAATATAAACTATTAAGACAACTGGATTCGAGGAGACAAATAAAGTTTGCATGTGTTCGTAACACAGTTAGTTTTGTCATTGGTATCGCCTTACCACACTTCTATGCATAGCCTTGCGAAAAGGTTAGGCCAGGCAGCGTCTGAAAAAATTCAAAGGAGCACCATCATTTTACCTTATAAAACAATTTAAGGTTCTTGTTCTTGGCAAACTTTATGTATTATTTTTACTAACTAGAATGACTCTTTTTTTTCCTTGTGCTTTGAATAAGTCAACTAATAAAAAGGGTCATTATAATTTGTAAAAATAGAAAACAATTTATATTCATGTAGAATATTAGATAAAAAGCCGTACAGAAAAATTCAGAAAGATTTTAAAATTTAGTAATAGAAAACGGATGGTCTGATTTCTCTGCTCTCGTGCTGTCACCTTATCAATGTGTTTGAGTAAGTATCATTATCTTAATGAGTAAGTGTCCGCAAAAACTCAAACACAATTTAAAATAATACATTTAATATTGAAAACATACACATGGTTCGGGAATCTTACCCTACCTTTAGTGGCTCCAAGTATGATGTATAATCACCTGGGACTTAAATCGGCGTCATCATGTATTATCTGTGTTGTGACAGATAATACAAGATGGTACCAAGTACTTACTAAATCGTTGCGATCTTACTTCGTTAGAAGAGGTAGTATTGTAATGGTGCACCGCAAATCGACGATTTCCCGACAGAAAAACGAATTTTGCTAGGCCCTAGTAATGAAAACGTTGATAAATCATGTTCATACATGTAGTAAATAACTTCTTCCAACACTGCGTACTGAGAATGCATGTTTTGTGGGTTCTTGATGCAGAGAAATCCATTGGCAGCAAACTGTCTCTGTCTCTCTCTCTCTCTCTCTCTCTCTCTCTCTCTCTCTCTCTCTCTCTCTCTGGTGAACGTTAGGCCCGAATCCGTTCACGCGATTTCCTCCAAAATTGATATTGCCCTATCCATGTGAACGAAGTCGAGGGCCTGTAAGTTTAAAATCATTATTTTGATCTTTGGGGGTGCTTTATACGAAGTCCCAACATTTTAATAAAAAATGCAGTACAGTGGTAAACTTCACTTGATGAATTTCAACGACTTCTAGGTCTCCCCAACCCATTTTGTACATATCGAATTTTCTATCCATGACCAATGAAAAACACTATTAATTAGTCATTTACTGTTTTTAATAATGAAACAATTTCTTGTTTTTTTAGCCTTAGTGCGTTGAATGTCGTCTGCCCTTCAATGTATTATTACCATTTAGTTGATACCGCTGCTCCATTTGCGTGTATGGAGCGCGTGCGTGTGATGGCGCTGACCTTGTGCCTGCCTTGTGTTGCAGGGGTGCAAGAGACACACCGCGCGGGCCGCATCGCGTCGCTCATCGGCGTGGAGGGCGGCCACTCCCTCGGCAACTCGCTGGCCGTGCTGCGCACCTTCTACAGCCTGGGCGCGCGCTACATGACCGTCACGCACACCTGCGACACCGCCTGGTGAGTGGCGCAGAAATGGCGACGGTTTCGCTTGAGGTATAACAGTGACGAATTCGTTTGAAGTCATGATTGTGACTAGTAAAAGAAATGTGAACATTTTGAATGGGAAATCTCCACATAGTTATTTTTTTACGTTTTATTTCGGGGAGAGTGAAATTACTGTAACAATACTTATGTTTTCTTTTATGATTTACATGAATTATCAAGTTCGGAACACTAAAATATTTAAAAGTGGTACATTTTGGTGATTTTTACAAAATTGTGTATACCAATTCGTGAGCAATGACAATATTTTGCTCCAAGGTAACTAACAAACATCTTTGATAGTTATGACGAAATAGTTTTAATGCTGGGAAAATAAATCAGATAAAGAAATTTGAGTCAGTCCTACCAGCATTATTCAAAAGTTTATTTCGCTGCTTGCAAAAACCTCGGACCTGTACAGGTGAGATGACAAAAAACGCGGTAGAGTTTTCTGGAGCTACAAACGTCTTCATTCACCAATGGTAACTATGATAACATTAAAATGAGACAATGAAGCTCATGTGATGTGCATACACGATTGCAGCTGTTCGTACATCAGCTGTGAGCGGAACTACACGAAACATAAGACATGAATGTAGTTATTTATAATAACCTACATTTCTGACATCCATAATCACGTACACGCAATACACACGTACGTATACGCAATTCCACTCATAAATGCGGTATCGATAGTAGTAGTTTGAATATGTTCTGTACTCTCCGAGATGCATAAATCGCAACAGCAACTCACGCATTAGGTGTGCGTAGAACTACACGATAGACGCATTATACGTACGCAGAAATATTGCATAGACGATGGGCGATAACGGAGCTTCGCTGTCACGGACGCAACGTTGATTATGTAGCTACCAGTAACTATACTGAGGGAAACAGCTGTTAGCGCAAACATGTCAAACCGCCCGTACGAGCTACTTACCCGTGCTCCTGCGAACACAGGCAACTTCCCCTAACTCCGCTCACATTTCCCCTCCAAATCCCACACGCTGAAGCAAAGAGAGGACTCTAAGTATAACGAAGAACGGTTTTTTCATATGAAAATATATTTTTCTGCCGTATTCTGATGTTTATATGAAGAAAATAATGTATTTGCCAGTAATGTGTATAAAGTGTGTAAATTAATAGAGTGGTGTTGCGTTTTCGTTATTTTATTGATCTTTTCGAATTGTTGAAAATTGTTTGTTAAAAAGTTCAGGAAATGTTGTACCTATATAAACTTTGAAGTACTTCTCCATACATGTAATTTCCAATTTGATATTCCATTGTTATTAACTTTCCATTAAAATATTTTAACGGTCCAGACAGTTTTATACGAAGAACCGATCAAATTTAGGTTTATTTGACTTATCTACTTTGCTTTTATCGTCTTTTTGCTACATGCGGACAAACAGTCCGTCTCGGCCACTGACGTTTCAAGTGATGGCGGTCCGGCTGTGGCTCGCGCAAGTTTTCTTGATTCACGAGCTCCCTAGTGCTCATCTAGCGCTGAATAGCACGGCACGTTGAGATGCTTAGGTTCGACTCAGAACGGCACGTACCAATTTACAAATCTGGCAACATCCACCTCGTACATTCGAAACAATCGTAGAATTTCTCGTGGCACGCTTAGATTCACGACCACCGTTGGTACGTCCTTTTAAGCCGTGACTTAGCCAGAACCTTCCTCTCCTCGCACCCCGTGTGGAATATCACGACCTCTTCCTGTAGCAGTGCGCAAGTGGTCGCGATACGAAAGCGAGGCCTTTGTGTGGTCGGCAGGGCCGACTGCTCCGTGCCCGCCAAGGAGAGCGACGCGCCGCCCACGATGCCGGCCACGGAGGCCACCTCCCCGGGCGACGCCGCCATCTCCCTGGGCCCCGGCCACTCGACGACGGCGCTGCCGGCGCCGCTGCCCTACACGGAGCCCCCCGAGCGCCGCACGGGCTTAACCGAATTCGGCAAGGTGAGTAGCCCCTCCCCTGGGCTCTCCTGACTCGCTCCTGACTGCCTCGCTGCAAATGATTGGTTATTTCGTGTTTCCGGGCGCGTCAACTCCTACGGACATTAGCACCGTAAGTGTAGTGCATGCTTGTATCATGGAAGGTGGCAGTGGTCTTCCCCCGCCGGATAGTGATTTCCGGCGCAGAAAGGCACTGCAGCTAAAGGGTTTTCCCATCTACGTATCTCCCCAGCTGTGCATCGTCCAAACAAGAGCAAGCTCTGACCTCCTCGTGTGTAGTCTGTCGTGTGTAGGGTCTCTCGTCGTGTGTAGTAGTGTAGTGCATGCAAGTGCAAGTGTATGTGTAAGTACTGGGTGGATAAGGGGAGGGAGAAGAGGAAAGATTACGCGGTCCATGGCCGTTTGTTGAGGTACTTCCTGGCGATCTTCGGAAAGACCACGGAAAATTACCGATCAGAGCAGCTGGTCGCTGGTATTCTTCTCTAGTCAGCGGCTGAATTCGACCTATCTACAGTCAAAATCTGCCGCCCTCGGAACTCGAATCCTAGACCCTCCCGGTCAGAGGTACTGCAGCGACATCGGATAATTCCCTAAGCCAAATCAGCAGGAACTTAGTAATTGAAAATAGTCATGATGAAAAGTAATGAAGCTAATATTTCGACAGAAAAAACATCTTGTGGGACCCTGACACAAAAAATTGCAGTGTTATTGTTCCTGCATGTAGTAATGGATTACTGATCCGATTTTGTAAAACGTTTTGCACCAACATAGCAAAGAAAGCCTACAAAAACTAGCGCAGTTTGTGATAAGCCAAAATGGTGTAGATTGTTGTAAAAGAATGTCATACTCGAACTTAACACGTTTCAAATGCTCATAAAATTTCGTATCTGTAGTATGCGTTGTGTTTTACTATTGAGTTGTAGAATTGAAGAATCATCTGATCACAGCAATTTCTACGCTAACTTGTGATGTAAGATTTGATTTTAATCATATTTCTGAATATCAGATCTTGAATGTCTCATAATGCAGAGATGAACGGTTTTGGACTCAGGACTTCCTTATAGACATGTGTCACTTTGCAACTTTTTTTACCGTAAAATTCAAGTATTTTGTTTAGGGATGACCTGGGTCTTGGGCAAATCATTTCCGCCCTGAAGCTCCTGACAGGAACTGTCATCATATGCTCCTCTCATATCGTGTGTTCACTAGATCTCTATATTCACTGTAGATTTATATTTGTGCGTTACTGGTAGCATGAGCAATCACTTATCTCTGATTTAAGAATAGTGATGTGTATTCATGGGTAATCTCTATTATTATAAGGAAATGAGATGACCTGATCGTATCATGTAGGTATTCTTGTGATTCTCCCTGATGGAACTGTGTTAACAAACCCTCCACAACCTAAACACTTTTACATTATTAATTCAAAGATAGTCATTAATGGTGATTTTTCCCCTTTGAGCTTAATATCATTTCAATTTTGGTTTTTCTATTTGGCTCTCTCTCTGGTGTCAAATGTTTAACGAAAACAAACTGAATACAGGAAAGTTCATTTTTAGTTACATTTTCGCTATAACTGTTTGGATACCGAATTCGTCATACAGTTTCACGCACTTCTCTTGTACTCCTTCCTGTTAACAAACGCCGGACCAAGAACGTCTTCTTGCCAACAAATCTGTCGTCTAGCACCAAGAACGTTCTCAGGACGTCTACCAAGTTCTAGCGTACGCAAGGTGGGTAATATTGTCTAAAGATAGTGTGCCAATGCGCCGTCTCGTAATAGTCGTTTCTTAGTTACTGTATTTGCATGTTTTTCAGCAATTATATCATCATCATCTTTTTCGTTGTATATAGACTTCCCTTCATACATTGAGGCTAGGCCTGCTCCTACTTCATGATTTGTAGAATTTGTCGATTTTATTTAATTTTCATGCATTATTTTTTATTTAAGGTCATATCAACATCTAGGTCATTAGCGACCACAATTGCATTTAACGGTATGTAAATCGTGAGGATGACATGAAATGGCGATGATAAGAGGGAACACAAAGATAACCTTGCCCGAGGCGGGACTCGGGATCATTCGGTCCGAGATCGCACTACTGCCTTAACAATCTCGGCCATTCAGTCCGGCGCAGTCATTTTTTGTACTTGCATTTTACAAAAATTCGTCATTATTTATTTGTTGAAATCAAAACCGAATTTCGTACATTCAATCGATGCAACTGATCCCGTGGATCGATTGGGTGTGCACACGTAGTACTTCCCATTAGTTCCTCGATTGATTTAAGGAACACATACTAGTAAATACATGTATTGATTGATTTAAGGAACACATACTAGTAAATACATTGTATGTGTATATCGCTACAGGAAAGAATCAGCCATGAACACATCTCCGCATTTTGAACAACGAATAGCGTAGCACGTAACATAGCCCGTCCACAGACAACCACCCACGTCCACAACCACCGCCTTCCTCCTCCGCGACTGCGTGAGTTACGCGACGGCGGGAGCGGTCCGAATTTAACGCGTTGCTGTCCGCGGGAAGATCTTAGGCCTCAGCCCCAACCCCACTCCTTCCCGTCAGCCCCTCTCT